CTTTTTAAAACAATAAAATTGGATTTTAAAAAATTATATTGGATTTTTAATTTAAATTGCATTTCTTAAAAATAAAATGCTTTTTGAGGATAAATCTATCTAAAGATAGCTTGCTATTTAAGATACATTACAGTCCAGAGATTATTCATCATGAAATAAGGATTAGTTTTTGATTATGTAGCGTGAGGCTGAACATTCATGCAATCTTTATTTTTTATTTTGGTAAAGAACTGCCATTGATCCATTCACAATGTCATGCTCTTCCAGAGGTTTCTGTAAGCTTCTTGGGCAATTTTTCTATGTAGAAGATATTATCACAGATGCTTGGTTTAACAGTTCTCTTGGACCTGATGACTTTCTTGGTCCCTTCCAACTCTAGTATTCTGTGATTCTCCGTTTCTCAAAACTGTGAATTCGGGTCTGCGGAGATCACATGCCTCTTCTTCAAGCAAAAATGTTATAAAATAAACACATAGAGAAAAGGACCTTAATCCCATTGTTTCGTTGCAAATCTATGTGCACAGAACCAACTCTTTACCTCTAAGTTTCAAAGAATTCAATGAATAGAAGAAGAAGATTGTTGGGAGTGGAGCAGATCTGCACAAGAAGCCAGGTGTGAGGAGGGAGGGCCGAGCAGTAAAAATGAAAGTGAAGCCTTTTGAGCGGAAGACCGCACAAGCCTTTGGATCTTTTTGTGTATAGCCTGAGGTTTATCATATTTTTCTTTCCCTGGAGGAGAAAACCTACAATGACAGCAGGCTGTAAAAGAGAGCCTGTTTGGGAATATTTTAATGAAGTTTCTCTACCTACAGATAAGGCTGGCAGGAAGGCATTCAAATCATGTAGAAAACCATGATTTAAATCTACTCTTACTGGCTAGGACTTTAGCTATTGGGTGTTATAAAAATGGAATGAAAGAATGGGGCCCCGCTGTTCGCCTGCGAATTTGGAGAGCCACTGGCAAGTGGGAGGAGAGATGGGCTGTGGTCAAAAGGAGCAGGGGACAGGTGTTTTGGCAAACGGCCAGGCTGTTGCCAGAAGGACCAGAGGCTAACAAAGGGGGGGGGGAGCCCTTTGGGTCAGAGTGACCTGTCCTATAGGCCCTTGCACAGCACTGTTCTGAAAGCAAGTGAGGGTGGCAAGGACTGGGAAAGGGTCAGGGTGGCCTCCTAGCAGGCTAGAGACCACAGGTAACGAGGAAAGGGAAGAGGGCACTGAGACAAGGGCTGATGCGCAATACCGATGCAAGTCTGACCTGTGAGTGCAAGCTGGGGAATCTAGGGGGTGCCTGTCGTTGCCCTGCATGCCACTTCCTGAAGGCAAAAGGTTGTGCGATGGAGCGTTTGTGGCATGGCCTCATCTCATCCTCCAACACTCAGCAGTTCTGGGAGCAGCATGCTCGAGAGTCAGACCCCACGGGAGGTGATTGTGCTCCCCTGGATTAGAACTGTGGCCTTCGGTCCCACTGGCTGCATCGGTGAGGGTTCGCAGATCCATGCTGCAGTTAGAAACATAGAACAGAGCGAGTCAGAAGGGGTCTCCGGGGCCATCTAGTCTGACCCCCGGCTCCAGCCGGCTCTGCTCATGACATGCTACCATGTGCATGTCCAGCCTGTCCTTGAACACCCGCACCGATGGGGCCTCATCAACCTCTCGTGGAAGCCCATTCCACACCCTCGGGGTCCTGACTGTCAGGAAGTGCCTCCTGGCATCCAAATTGAACCTGGGTTCCCTGAGCTCGGCTCCGTTGGAGCGCGTCCTGCCTTCCTCTGCAGGGGAGAACAGGTCTCTAGAACAGGTCGGTGCATGCGCAGGGAGCATTTGGAGACCGGTCTCTTGGTGGAAGTTCTTCCTGGCGGCCTTGTGGGTAGAGCTGAGGAAGGCGCTCGTGCAGGCTCCTATCTCATTGTACAACTGGTCCCTGTTCCGCTTTCCACAGGGGTTCTCGCCCCCAGTGCACCTCCTACTTGGGTGGGGGTGGAAGAATGCAGAATATAGAAGTGTTGCATGTTGAGTTACCTATTCTGACTCTTCCCCCCCCCACCCACCCACACACACACCCCCTCTAGCCAAACAGGGGCAAGCAATGTTATTTGCTGTCAAAGACTGCTTTCTCTAATGGGTAAACTATTTGGGACTGTACCTCACTGCTGGATGAGGAGGGAGCCAGTGGTGAGCAGGGCCAGACCCCAAAATACATAAACCGCCCCATTTTTCCTCTCCTCATCTCCTTTCTCTCTCTCACCCCCACGCCTCTTTCCCTGATTGTCCTTCAGCGAGGTGACAGATTGCTTTTGCCCCAGGCTCCAACAGGCCTCGCTGCCTTTCCCTGCCTTTCCCTGCGATAGAGGCCTCACACCTGACGTCCCCTTCCCTTGATCAGGTGTGCTCGCAGGGCCAGCCAGGGAGGAATGCCTAGCCTGATTGCTTCTCCAGAGACGACGAGTACTGTCGCTTTTACCCCCAGCTTCTTACGCAAGGCCTGTGTAAGTCAAGGCTTGGTAGCGGTGCAGCACCTTCTTTTAGAAGCGCAGCAGCACCAGCAGCGCCACGGGGGAAAACAGTCTGCCGCAAATGTGCTTTGTCAGCTGTGCCTGGATCAGCACACCGGGGGTGGAGTGCTTGATGTATTGTTCTTGAACACGTGGCACCTGGGGCAGCGGGGATCGCGGCGGATGCTTGGGTCTGCACTGCGGGCAGCAATCCAGGGGGTGGCTGGATCTCCAGCTGCAGGGTTCTAGCTCTCTGCAGTGGCAGGGGAAGCGGCCCTCCTTGCGTCAGAAGGCAGCCTGTGGGCAGCCCACAGGAGGCCCGTTATCTCCATCCTTGCAGCGATTTGGGGAGAGGGTCTGCTGCAGCTCATAGCAGCAATGAGCTGGGCCGCCGTCTACTTTCTTTCATGGGAAGTGGCGCTCTTCTGGCTTGGCTTGCTGCGGGCAGTCTTTTGAATGGGAAGTGATGGGTTATATAGCTCAGGATCCTTCACACGGGAATGCCCACAACTAATAAGCCTACTTAAGAATAGGGAAAATTCTTAAGAATAGGGAAAATTCTCTCTGCAGGACTGCCTTTGGAAATGACCTGGAGATGTCAGCTAGTGCGCAGTTGGACCACCTGCCACAGCGATTCCATTTAGAACATGCTGCAGCAATTCTCTAGCGGTTTCTTCTGGCCACTGTTCTGTTTCCAAGCCCAGCTCAAACTGCTGATTCTGGCTTTTTAACTGCTTTGGGGGCAGGTTATTTGAAGGACCTCCCAGGAATATATGAAGCTGCCCACGCTTTTGGATCTACATCAGATTCCTTTGCCATTGGGCTGACTTTAAGATCTGTTTAAGTGGTTGGCACTAGAGACAGGACCTTCTTGGTAGAGGCCCCACCTGTTTTTAAATGGCTGTTAATGGATATGTTTGCTGAATATGCAGTTTTACGCTTGTGCCTTGGAAATGGTTTTATATCCACTTATATGCATTTGGGCTTTAAAGCATTTTATTTATGTTAGTTGAAATCATATTTCATAGTTATATTGCAGTTAGCTGCCATGGTTCAGGACAGCTTACTGATATTATAAAAAAATAAATGACTTTGAGCAGTGCGACGCTCAGCAAACTGTTTGTCCTTCTTTCATGTTAAAGAACACCGACTGCAGTAGGACCGTAGCATTTGGGTGTTCCGCCTTCACAATTCACTGTGCGTCTCGCAGTGCCATTTCAGGCCTCAGTTAAGGACGAGGCCTCGGTATGCTCTGCAGCCCAGCCAAGTCATCAGGCCACGAATCCATCTAGGCCAGCAGCCAGCTGCCCGCGGGAAACGCAGAGCAGCAGCAGCGCCTTCTTGCTCACGCTCCCCAGCATACTGCTTCTGACGCGGCACATAGCAGGGCCTGGTAGCCTCCAGGGAGTTGCTCAACCCTCCCCTTTCAAGCCAGCCAGGTTGGGGGCCTTGGTGACCTCACTTGGCCTTCCATTGCCATCAGGTGAGGAGCAAGAGGAGAGGTGCATAGAATGGTGGGAAAACACACCTTGGAACGCCAGAGGTTCCGAGTTCAATTCTCCGCCACTCCCATCAGGGGATTCCTGGGAGCAGCACGTCGGTTCCCAAGAGAGCCAGTGTGGTGTGGTGGTTAAGAGCACGGGACTGGGACTCAGACAATCTGGGTTCTAGTCCCCACTCAGCCATGGAGCCAAGTGGGTGACTTTGGGCCAGTCATAGACTCTCAGCCCAACCTACCTCACAGGGTTGTTGTTGTGGGGATAAGATGGAGGAAGAGATGTAAGCTGCCTTGAGCCCTTTGTAGGAAAAAGGCAGGATATAAATAAATTAATAAAAAAAATAGTGTGGTGGATCAGACAGGCCAGCCCAAGACTTGATGCCAGGAAGTTCTGATTCTGTGTAATGCAGCTTCATACGTTCATCATTGGGCAGGCTTTGATGTGCCGCTATCTATTCTATCACTGCAGGTGGTGTGAATACACCCTCTGAAAAACTCTCCCGCCTGAAGAAAGCTAGCATTCTAGGAGGTCATTTAAAGCCCCCGGACTCAAAGCCAGTGATGAGCTTCTGCCTGTTCTAAAGCCATCTGAGCTGGTGGCCCGGTCATTGTAGCGCTCCGCGTATGCTTTCGTGCCACTTGCCACCTGGCAAGGTGATTCAGCTCATGCAGCTTTGATTGTAGCCACTTGCAAGATGCTTCCAAGCATCTCCAGAACTGCTGAGCACCTGCAGCACTTGGCTCAAGACCCCGTCGGGCATGAGAAGGGGGGCGCTGGATTTGCTCCAAAGTGCCGCTTGACGTGCTGACGGTATCCGTCCTCTGCGCCACTGAATGAGCGCGGCCCTGGAAGGAAAGGCCTCTGCGGGGTGGCCCTGCTCTGCTTCCACACTCGCCTCGCCCTGTGCTGATGGGACAATGACCAAACTCCTCTCGAGCAAGCACAGCTCTCTGCCCAGACCCTCCAGTCTGCATCTAAGTGCGTGTTGTTTTGTTTGTGTATTAAACAGGAGGAGAAGTGCAGGCGACTGGCATTCTGACGATGAAGGTGCTCAGTGATGACGGGAACTTGTGCGCGTGATGAGGATGATGCCCCGTGGGCTGGAGCATGAGAGTGGGCTGTGAGCAGGTACGATGGGGCCGTCCTGGGGCCATGAATGGCTCGGCTGTTGGGCAGGAGAGAAGCTTGTTGCACAGAGATCTGCATGTACTTTTATTTACTATATTTCTATCCTGCCATTTTCCTTCCAAGGAACTCATGCTCCCCTTCTCCTCTCCATCTTTCCCTCACAACAACAACCCCAGGAGGTAGTCCAGAGTCACCCCGTGGTTAATTGGACCTCATTTTATCCTCTGGTCCTCCAGAAGGAAGTGTGTCTTGGGTCTGGTTCACACAGGCATGGCGACTACAGCATGGGATGGCTCACCTGTCCGAAAGAGTCCCCACAGATGAAGCTCTCAGGGCCCTGCCCTGTGCAGACTGGAGCTCTTGCGGGGTTCGGCCAGGTCCTCTGGTGGAGCTTGCTTGATTTATCGGGCTCCCCCTGCCTTCCTGTGGGCGAGACATTGGCAGTTTTAGTTCTCGGTCGCCTCTGTGCGTCACACACACCGTCTGTAGTCTTCGCACAAGCATTGAAGCACGATGCCCCCCCTCCATCCCCATGGCCTGAAGAGCTAAAAAAGCCCCCCCCCCCCCCGATCCTCTCGGGCCATTTTGTACTCAAGCCCTTGCATCTTCTGTTTTCCTCGCTGAAATAGTATGCCCTTTTTTCCGTTGTGAGGAAGCCTTGAAGGCTGCTTCCCAAGAGCTCTTGGTTCAAAGGGCTTTGCTGCTTTGAGGCCAGGATGTGCTCTGCTGAAAGGAGTTGCGGGCCGGGAAGGGAGGCAAAGGAGTTTGGCGTGTGAAGCAAAGAGAGAAAGGTGCGGAGGTGAGCTGCATCCTGGATGTTCAAAGCCGTTGCCGCTGTATTCACGGGGGTTTTGCGCTTAAGTGCCTAATGTGTCGCTCTGGGAGGCGTTGCACAGAGATGAATGCGCCTTTTCGCTTTTGAGCTGACACTGTCGACTGGCTAAGCTCCAGCAGCTGATGCGCCCTGAAGTCAGTGTTTTGTAACATGGCTGTATCGGGAAGAACAAAATGCAGGTAGGAAAAGCAAAGCTGAAACCAGGAGCTGCTGTGTCTGCCCCCCCCCCTTTTCTGCTGGTAATTTAACCCCTAGTTATGTATCCATGAAGAGGGACCAAAGATGGTTGTCCTTTGGCTGCCTGAAGCTGTTCTCTGACTGCAAACCTTACGAGGCGTGTGCCAGTTCCTGAGTTCACCGTGGTGATGCATCAGGGGCCCCCAGCTTGGTTGTAGCACCCCTGTACATTCTCCACAAGTTTGCACATGTCTGCTTTCCCTGCCTTTTTTGCCAATATGGTTGCAAAGACAAAGAATAGAAACATCGAAACAGAAAGTCAGAAGGGATCTCCCGGGCCATCTAGTCTGACCCCTGGTCCACTCAAGACATGCCTACCATGTGCATGTCAAAACAGCCCTTGTGGTAAAGTGGCCTAGATGTTTAGGAATTGGATTGCCAACTTCAGTGACCGGTGGCTTTGCAAGTTCTGATCGCAGAACGCCGAAGATCCGGGTTAAGGAGAGAACCAGGCAGAAGGAAAAGCAAGTGAGGCCCGAAGTAGCGGCAATGCAGGAACTCCAAGGCAGCTTGCCAGTCCTGCTGTGAGGTTTTGTGCATGCACAGGCGGGGGTGGACATTTCTGTAAAAAGAGCAGTGAGATTTTCTGCCTGAGCCCTGCAGCAACCTAGGAGACAGTGGCCAGGTCTAATTTTAGTCATTGCAATGGCTACCTGGGTTTTTCCATTTGAATATGGGCCTGCCCCTGTGATGGCACCTCTTCTGTTTGCCACAGGCCCCCATCACAGCCGGCTGTGGTTAGATTTAAGTTGCTTAATGCTGGATCAGGCCAGCGTTTCATCCAGCCCAGTCTGGCCCGTAGTTCCACAGGGACTTGAGAGAGGTTTTTCCATCCTGGCTGCCTTTTAACTAGAGATAGCAGGGAATCAAGCTTAGGACTTTTATGTACGTAAAGCACGTGTCCTATCTTACTACCTTATGGCCTTCTCCTATTAAGCTATGGCCACTCGTAGTTGTGCAGGGTCACACCACTAAGAAAAGAGAAATTCTGGGGTTCAGGTGTTGCTTTCCTTGATGGAACAAACCAGCAGGTGAGCTTTTTCCTGAGTAGTTTCCTGGTTAGCCCCCTGCTCTTTGCTTGTGACATTCTGGAGGTCATTTGGACTCGAGTCCGCAGAGAATAGGAGAGTTATTCAAGTCCAACTCCCAACTCAATGCCGGACTCCCAGGTTTAAGCATTCCCAACAGAGGGCTGTCCAGCTACCTCCAGAATGCCTCCAGGGTGGGAGAGCCCACCACCTCCCTAGGTCAGGGGTTCCATTGCTGTACTGCTCTAACAGCCAGGAAGTTCTCCCTGATGTCCGGCTGGAATTTGGCTTCCTTATTATTCTGTGTCCTGCACCCTGGGATGATGGAGAAGAGATCCTGGCCTTCCTCTTTGCGACAGCCTTTCAACTGCTTGTAGAGCAATATCCTATCTCCCTTCAGTCTTCTCTTCTCAAGGCTAAACATGCCCAGATCTTTCCATCGCCCTGTGCACGGTTTTGCTTCCAGTCCTCCTTGCTGCCTTCCTCTGAACCTTTTCCACCTTGACTGCATCTTTCTTGAAGTGTGGTGTCCAGGACTGGACACAACACTCCAGATGGGGCCTGGCTACTTCCGGAGAGGGGAGATCCTTTGCCAAGGTGTCTGTGTGTGGGGCAGGCAAGTGGGAGATAGGTCAGAGTGTCGGCTCTGGGGGCAGGGTGCTCCGGGTTCCGCCCTCACCATCGCCCGATAGCAAGGCTGAGGAGGACTGTGCAGAAGAGCATCCGCTCTGTAGGTAAGAGAAGGGTGGATGGTCCTCCAATTTTCACTCCTTCCTCCGATCCCCATCCAGCTTTTCTTACAATATCTTCGGTCTGCAGATTGAATAGATAGGGAGAAAAAATACAGCCTTGTCTGATGCCTTTGCTTATAGGAAACCATTCTGGGTTGGCCTAAAGCAGCTTAATAAAGTTCATGCTAGTCTGGTGCTTTGGTTTTGAGAAGGTGCCCTGTTTCGCAGCACTGAAGTTCTACATGCAGAACGATTCCAGGTAGCCAGACGTGAGAACTTCCTTCTTGAAGATGTTCAAAGCAGAGTGTATTGGGCAAGGTGAATCGGTGCTGTGATTTGGCATAATGGAGCTTCGGACGTCCTGAACGGCTTGCCAGGCCCAGTCCTCCCTTGCAGGAGGTCTGCTAGCAACTTGTTTCACCAAATATACCACTTTGCCGTTTTGCACCCAGTAAAGGAAACTCCACTTTCACCTCTAAGGGGGGCTGAATGCAGTCCATGAGCTTGAAATTACTCTTTCTCTTCTACACTTTTAAACCCTGTATGTAAATTTGAGTAGAAGACAAACAACCAGAAAGATTAAGGTAATCATTTTCCAGAACAAAACTAAGAGATGTTTCTGTGGTCATGCTCTCCCTTCAGGCAATTCTGGTCAGCTGTGAATTGCCTGGGATAATGCTGATTGGGAAGGTGTGCCCTTGTAAATTTCAGTTCCTGCTGCTGTTCAAAACCAAAAAAATGAATAGGGCAGTGCCGCTTTTTCAGTCCATTGTCAGCAGCTCTGAAGTTTAGCGGGTCCCTCATAATGACTTTATTGTATGCACCCTGCCTGATAAGCCCACTTAAATCTCTCTCCTCTCCTCTCTTTTCCCTTGTCTTATTTATTAGCATTTGAAAGGCAAATCCAAAAGCTGTTTTCTGAGCAATGTAAGCAAACAAACAAAAAGATGGATTGGGGATGTGGTGGCTGAGAGAGGCAAGGGCTAAGGGGAGAGAAATGAGGCAAGTTTGGGCTTGGGGTGCTGGAAGCACATTATGCAGTGAAAGTGGCATTTAAACAGTAGAATGGAAAGCTGCGTGAGCTCTGGAGAGGGGAGGGAGAGGGAATCGGAGTCCTTGGTCCACAGCTAGTATTTCATAAATTCAGCCAAGGACTTGTGAGGTTGTTTCCCCTTTTCCGTCGTGAGGGGTTCTAACCTCCTCTTGAAGTTGTCTTGCTGCCAAGCCGATAAACTGCCCACTGGAGGAAAGGCCAAACACTTTGCCGAGTTGTTGAAATGTACACTTCTCAATCCGTGTGTAAAGAGAGCTGTGCCAAACCACCAATTTTCACCTTCACTGGGTGCAAACTTCCAGTTGAGAGCGAATTGCGAAAGCTCCTTGCAGGAAAAAGCCTGCTTGATTGCGTCTGGTGGGGGAAAATATCAGCTCTGCCCTCGGTTCCTGTTTGGCTTTCTGCCTCACTTTTCATTTGCTGGGTTCCCTTCTCTGTTCCCAACACCCTGCGCATTGTTCGGAGAGTCCTGCTCACCCATTCATGAAACCAGTTTCCTCTGGATGTGCTGGAAGTGGAGGAAACCTCTCTTTTGTTTGCAGTATCAGCCAGGACTCGCCCCTTCTCTAGCCCTGTCCTTTCACCTGTGGCAAATTTCCTCTCCCCTCACTGCTCTGCCACCCATCTTAATACGGGGCTCGGCCATGTTGCTTGGACCAGATTCCCACTGTTTGGTGCTGAACCACCGTGCGTGTGCAGGCAGACGCATGCCTTGCCGATGGGCAAACTTAGAGATGACGCTCCTCTTTCCATTTTGTTGTTTTAAGGTCACAAATGGTTGAGGATCTGTTATTGGATGGACTAAAACTGTAAATAAATGGCATCAGGTTGTGACCACTGGAAGGCTGGTAACTTTAAGTCAAGTTGTTTTGCTTATCTTATATTTCCTACTCTATGTTCTCAGCCAAAAGGCTCTGAAATCTGCTTACAAAGTGCAATAAAAAACAGTAATAAATGAAATAAGGCAACACAGTGAAACAGCAGTTAACTAAAAGCAGTCACAGCGTTGCCAGCAGTGATGCCTTTCTGTAAAGAAAAATCTAAACCGGCCTGCTAATTAAGAGACAGCCCGGAGGGTTCGCCTCGTCTGCACGAAGAGCAAAGTTAATATAAGG